GCCATGATCTAAATTCTGAGTTTTTATTTAAACTTCCCCTCCCCCTTGCCTTCCACAATGCCACGATCTAAAATCGAATCCTTTATTTAAACTTTTCCCTCCCTTGCCTTCCACAGTGCCATGATCTAGATTTTAAGTCTTTATTTAAACTTCCCCCCCTTGCCTTCCACAATGCCATGATCTAAAATCGAATTCTTTATTTAAACTTTCCCCCCCTTGCCTTCCACAATGCCATGATCTAAAACCTACCTCTTTATTTAAACTTCCTTTCCCTTGCTATTCACAATGCCATAATCTAAAATCTAACTCTTTATTTAAACTTCCCCCCCCTTGCCTTCCACTATGCCATGATCTAAAACCAAACTCTTTATTCAAACTTCCCCTCCTTGCCTTCCAGAATGCCATGATCTAAAATCTAATTCTTGATTTAAATTTCCCCCCTTGCCTTCCACAATGGCATGATCTAAATTCAAACTCTTTATTTAAGGACTACGACCATGCTACAAGGATGGGCCATATTTTCTTTCCATGCTTGTTCTGAGAATATATCTTTTGGCAGCTTGGACGAGATAAATAGCTTACAGCTTTCGCCAGGTCGTTCATCATGCCGGTAAGCCAGTTACACATTGACAAATTCAATTAATTAACGCAAAGACGTCATCCATCTTCACAAAGGTGGGCTTCAAAAGTTAAACTGAAGTAGGACCAGTACATAGTCCAATTAGCTGTCACGATGCCAACAGAAAAAACACAAACAAAACAACAACAAAACAAACAAACAACCAAAACCAAAAGACACAAAAAAAAAAACAACCACAAAAACACCAAAAACACCGCCTGAAAGGTCCCTGGCGGTTCCATTTTTGGGACCCTGTTTAGGTTCATTTTTGTTTTTTTTGCAGCAGAGTTAAGCGCACTTTTTTGGGTTCAAGTGAAACTTGTGGCTATGGCGACCGGATCAATGTGCTTGCTCAAATAAACGTAGTTGTAATTTCTTGTTTGTTGCACGGGATGGCTTTTGCTGTTTGATTTTGCGATTTTGCAGTCTCATTTTTGGTACCGTAAGACAGTCCCAAAAAATGGGACCGTGAAAATGATTTTCTTTTGTTTTTTTTAGAAAACTGCGCATTGCAGTCCTAAAAATGGGACCGCCTCAGGTTATTTTTTTTTGATTTTTTTTGCGGCAGGGTTAAGCGCAATATTTGGGATTCAAGTGAAACTTTGTGGCTTTGTGGCGACCGGAAGGGCAAGTGTACTTCAGTTGCGATCATGCCAAGCAATCTTCAGACAGTCGTTTCTGACCTAGCGCCCAGCGGTTCATTTCGAAGCTCTGGATCATCGTCATCTTCCGCTACAGAGTCTGAAGATTAGAAACTTTCCAAAAACACCTTCCAGGCGAAACAGAGCGACCTACTTTTAAAGCAAAATCACATTGTAAATGCACCAAAAACGAATCAAACATACACACCGTCAAAGTTTTTCCCGGCAAGAGACTCCGAACAGCGTGCAGGAGTGGGAGGATAATGTATGACAATATTGATGTTGATGTTGATGTTGATGTCGATGTTGATGTTGATGTTGGTGATGATGATGATGACGACGATGATGATGATGATGATTGTGATGATAATGATGTTAATGTTGCGGACGATGATGTTGGTGATGATGATGATGACGACGATGATGATGATGATGATTGTGATGATAATGATGTTAATGTTGCGGACGATGATGTTGAGGATGATGATGTTGAGGATGATGATGTTGAGGATGGTTAGGCGCAGGTGATGATGTTGAGAATGATGAGGTGGATGATGATGATGATGATGATGATGATGATGATGATGATGATGATGCTGATGATGATGATGATGATGATGTTGAGGATGATGATGTTGAGCAGGATGAGGAGGACGAGGATCGTGAATTGGAGAATGATACGGTGGAGGACGATGATGTTGCGAAGGAGGAGGATGATGATGTTGAGGATGATAATGTTACGGATGATGAAAAGGATGATAATGTTGATGTTGCGGAAGATGAGGTAGAGGTTGATGATGTTGCAGATGATGAGGTCAAGGGGTAGGAAGATGATGATGTTCAGAATGATGATGTAAAGAAGGAAGAAAATGATGATGTTGACGATGATGATGTTGAGGAGGAGGACCGATCCCAAGACCGGGACCCACACTTTGTGCAAACCTGCGCAGTTGAAATGCATTTGGCCGTCGCACAAAAGCCATTTCGAGCGAAAATTTATAGGTAAAATGTTGAAGACCAACACCGGGGACGTCGAAATGCATTTGGACATAGCGCAAAAAATACTTTAGGCGAAAATTTACAGGTAAAAAGGTCAGGGCCAGGATCGCATCCCACACTCTGTGCGATCCTGCGCAATTGAAATGCATTTGAACATGTCAAAGAAGCCACCTCATTTTTTTTCACGGAAAATGCCGCGCGCGAGACGGAAACAAAACCCACGGGGCAGACTTTGTGCGAGCCTGCGCGGTCGAGACGGACATGGATATGTCACAAGAACGATGTTATGCGGAAATTTATAGGGAAAATGGCGCGCCCCCGAGTGAGCACCTCGATCAAGCACCGGCCTTAACCCCTACCGTAAGAACTCTTCAGTGTGGACACGTTGTTTAGGGAAATGCCCATGGGAACAGATGCATTTAAAAGGGGACGTTCTTCATGCGAGTTCGGTTTCTAGCTGGTTTTCCCTTCAGTTTGTGGGTGTGGATGTCGCCAAGTTTCGAGCGCTGGCCGTTCAGCTTTGGTCTTGTTGTTGGTGCTCAGCATGTTGGGCGTGGTTTGGTTGTGCTCGCGTGATGTTTTCAGTCGCCAGTGTTTGGTTCTGTAGCAGCTGGTTGATGCTTGTTTTGCGCTAAAACTTTGCTTGGCGACTGGTGTGGTTTTCCAATTCGGTTACGTTGACAGGTCGGTGGATTGTTGGGTTGACAGGTCGGTGGATTGTTGGATCATGCAGGTGGTGTTTGTGGGTTGTCGGATGTTGCTGATTGGATTTAGAGCGTTGGTTGAGTTTGTTCGTTTGGTTGCTAGGTCGGCACGGCCTTTGATTGTAGCCGCTTTTTTGTTTTTGTTTTGGTTCGTTTCTTCTTCGACCGTTTACTGTGTGTTTTTACAGGAAGGTTTCGCCTTTGCAGAAGGCCCCCCTGCCAGAAAGTACCGTTTTATGTGTTTTTTACCACAAGTTCCGCAAAACCATTTTCAAGGTCCCTATAGAAGGTCGTGCTTTCACATGTGTATTCACACGGAAGGTCCCGACAAGGTCCCAAGAAGGCACCGCTTTTACGCGTGTTGTTCCACAGAAGGTCTGCCTGAGCGGACGTTTTTGGTGGTAGTTTCATGTCGATCTGTTCATATGAATTTTTGAATTTTTAAATGCACACGTACCATATGACCATGTGATTTATATAAGTTGTATTACTTGGTAGAGAGCAAACAATGTGTTGTCCAAATCACATTGCCAAATGGTTTGGCCATTTTGACTCAAATTTTGAGTCTTAGACTGCTTCAACTGCCTAGGCCTGTGGTACATGAAAAAAAACAACAGGAAACCACAAAAAATCTAAACATTTCTTAACAGGTGGAAACTGCATGAGTATGTGAGATGTTCCGGCAAATCCGCTGTGGGAGATTACAGTAACTTAACCAAAATGACAGCAGAAGGAACGCCGGAGTGGATACAACCAGTGTGGGTGTGCAAACTCATCCCATGGACTTCTAAGGATTCCCTGTCCTAATGCATGTTCGCTACACCAATAGTGTAACATGGGTGGCCCACATTCTCGGTAAGAAAAGGTTTCCAAAATCAACCTTTTTGACCTTGGAAAAAAAAAGTGTAGCTACAAATTCCATGGCATACTGGGGAGGCCTTTCATGCGGGCCCGGTTTCTAGCTGGTTTTTGGCCCTCATTTTGGAGGTGTGAATGTCGCCAAATTTTAAGCGCTGGCCGTTTCAGCTTTGGTCTTGTTGTTAGTGTTCAGCATGTTGGGCGTGGTTTGGGTGTGCTCGCGTGATGTTTTCAGTCGCCAGTGTTTGGTTCTGTAGCAGCTGGTTGATGCTTGTTTTGCGCTAAAACTTTGCTTGGCGACTGGTGTGGTTTTCCAATTCGGTTACGTTGACAGGTCGGTGGATTGTTGGGTTGACAGGTCGGTGGATTGTTGGATCATGCAGGTGGTGTTTGTGGGTTTTCGGATGTTGCTGATTGGATTTAGAGCGTTGGTTGAGTTTGTTCGTTTGGTTGCTAGGTCGGCACGGCCTTTGATTGTAGCCGCGTTTTGTTTTTGTTTTGGTTCGTTTCTTCTTCGACCGTTTACTGTGTGTTTTTACAGGAAGGTTTCGCAAAGGCTTGCAGAAGGCCCCCATGCCAGAAGGTACCACCCTGCCCAGGGTTGGATGGGTCGGGGAAGTCCTGTGGCACATGAATTTGGAGTTTTACCTGCTTGTCGGATTCCCAGAAAATGAACAACATTGGTTTGTGGTTTCGGGGGAAAACATACATTGCAACATCGCAGAAAGTATATTTCATTAAACACATCACACAAATTCATGAAAAAAAATGCCGATTTGGGATTCCAAAAAATATAGCAGTATGTGCTGCGGTGGTTTTGATGAACAGTTTCTTGACTTCTTGATTCAAACAAAACAACATTTTTCAAAAACTGACAATCATGATGCTTGACCGTGCCATTTTCAGCCTTCGCTTTGTGCGTCTGCATTGGGTGTTTTTGCATGGCTAACACCCACGGGCGATTTTGTTTCGAGATATTCGTATATTTTTTGACATCATTTGCAAATTGGCCCTTTAGCATCCTTTTGCAAAATTGCAAAGTGTAAACAATCAAACGGCATTCTCGCAGTTGACGAAAAATAACCCCTCCATCAGTGGAGACCTTCAAACAAACATGTCATGTCAGTGTTCAGAAATACAATGTTGCAAGAAATGTTGCAAGCAACCAGACTGCTGACGATGAACACCACCGGTGGCATGTAGTGATGGAAAACCATTGTCATGGTCAGTCCCTCGGGTCAAAACAAAGCGTTTGGATTTTGTTTAGAATGAACATTCTTTTTTGATGACTTTTCTTGTTCAAATTGGGAAAATTTGGATCAGTGCATTGAATCAGGTTAAAACTGATGCCAGAAAAACTGATTTGAAACAAACTGGGATGTTACCAAGTTGGATCCCCACTATTTATTTGCTGAATTTCAGGCCGTGGGCCCACAAATCTCTCCACAATTGAGTCTTTCCGTCCCTCGACTGGGACCTGAAGCCCGGATTCCTGGTGGCAGCAGTTTTGTTTTTGTTTCTTCTCACGATGCAATGGGTCTCGATTGATGGATTGAATAGAAGGAATTATTACTTTGAACATCTTTGAACCACATCACCAGTTTATCACCATTTTTCACCATTTCTCACCATTTCTCACGGAATGACACCATGATTCGATGCCTGACAGACTGCAGGCTTCAAAGGTTGCGGTGAACGGCCCGGTTCAGTGGGGCGCCCGGGTGGATCCGATAAGATGGGGCTGGTATTTGGAGGTTTCCTAAAATGGAGATTACCCCAGGTCACCATAGGGTTTCGCCACTAAAATGGTCAAATCTTAGATGATTTGGGGTACCCCTATTTTAGGAAACCCCGATTTGGATTTCTTCGTATGTTTGTTTTGTGAGTGAACAACTGTTTCCATTTTGCAGAGCGGGTAAAGAAAGATGGATGACAATGAAATTTCATGACGTTTCATTGAAGTTATGTTGGGATCCATATCACTTTCACATACTTTCACTAAATTGTGGTCGTTTCTCTTTGTACCATGCCCAACACTTGAGGTATCTTGACGTGGGGTTGTTTGTTTCGCCATGTGTAAGGTTTGTGGCTTGCGCTGCGGCTGAGGTCCCCTCGGGCACAGGCGTGCTCGCCGGCGCAGCGCTACCCTGTGGCCATGGCACCGGCACCAGCGGCACCAGCGGCACCGCTGCGTGCGCGGCGCAGCAAGGTGTCCTTCGAACGGCCCGTGGCCCCGCTACGGTCGGGCGAAATGAGCCCGGCCGACTGGTCCGGGTCACTGCGAAGGGGCCAGGGACCACTGAAGCCGGTGAAACCGGAGCCGCCACGGAGCAGGTCCCTGAGCGATTTGGCGCAACACCTGGGATTGGAGGAGGTGGAACTCATGGGATCTCCGAGGGCCACACCGTCCACACCCAGTCGCGTCAAGAGTGTCAAAGCTGCGCAAGCTGCGGCACCCAAGGCACAGATGTCTCACGTGTCTCACGTGTCTCCTTTCGGAGCCAAGAGAAGACAATCCCCTCGCCCGTATGGGCCACGTGCTGATCGCGATCTGTGGGAGCTGGAAGCCCTTCAGCCTTCTGCGGAGCCCTCGGGGGTGCCATTTCTGGAGCCTTGTCGTTTCAGTGGGAAGTGTGGAAACTGTTGACTTTGAGTCCTTTCTCTTGGGGTCTACCACCGGTTGCAAAGCAAGATTCAATGAACGTCTGCAGAATCTGAAGGTTTCAGGTTCCTCACACCAAAGCAGTGAGGGCTGTCGCTCGCTTTCCTCTTAGGAAACCTCAGAAGCGTCTGAAAGCCTTCCAGACTATACGGGCTACAACTGGCCGGATCCTGAAGTCAGCGCTGATGTTTGCATCCTGAATTTGGCCCCCAGCACGTACGTATATAGGTATGTTACTGTATTTCGTTCTCTTTTTAGCATGTATTGTAGCCTGGTATCGTAACCTTTTCCCTTCGGCTCTTCGGGCATCTTCTGGCCTTTTTTTTTTCGATGGCCCAACTTACCGGCCTTCCAGGCCATCGGAACAGTTTGAGCCGCTGGGGTCCATGATCCGATCGCTGGAGTTTCAGGCGCCATGGCTATGGCCATGGCTACACCCTGGGTGAACCAGCCATACCAGCCATACCAGCCATAGCTATCCATAGCTATGCCGCTATGCCCTTTGACATTGAGGTATGTCCACCATCTATACTAACTCCAATTATGTCGACCTGAGAAAACCGCCCCAACAAAGCCAAGGTGCGTCAATTGCGGAAGGCAAAACCAATTTTTTGAGCTATCCCTGAAACAACATGACCTCCAATTCCAGCTTTGATTGCAGCTTGGAAAACCATCCAGTGGGCTACTCCCCCATACTGGGATTATCCTCAAACTGTTCATCAGGTGAGTGCTCTCTTCGAGTTGATGGACGTCAACCCCACAGTGGAAGGATTTTTTTTGGGTCATGGGAAGTACGCAGGACCTTGTTGCTGGCGTAACATGACGCCTCAATATTTCTATTTCTTATCAGATCTAATGTGAGTCATATGAGCTCTGTGGCAAAAACTTGAGAACTCAAGGAACACAGATAACTCAGATAATCGTCAGATGTAATTTGATTCTGATTGATCCTTGACGAATTTTTGCAACGTCAAAACTCGAGGCGCACAGCGCCGAAGCTGATGCTTCGGTCCTGGAAGTCATCAACAGGCGGGCGTCTGGACTCTTCACGTTGCTTTGTATGTTTAAATTTGGTTGTATGTGTTTTTTGTTCCTTGATGCTCTCTTTTTTTTTGATGTTTATTCTGATGTATTCTCAAGATTTTCGACAATTGATTCGCGGTTTGCGAGAAATACTCATATCAGCAGCCAGGTTTACCATTTTTTTGGGGGAAAATTCCCTGGGTTCCGATGCCGCAGGAAGCGTGAGGCGGTGGATGACACCTTTCAGGCCTTGAAGGAAGCTGTTTGGTGGACGAGGCCATAGCGCATCGCAGCTGCCATAGTTGCGATAGCACAGATGCTTTGCGTCATGTGGACCAGTTTGTCGCAAGATTTTGCAAGTACAGGTCGTATCCCAGTTCTTAGCAAGAAGTTCTGGTGCAGATTGGAGGCTCAAGGGGTTATCATGGGTTATCCATAGAAACAATGGGCATTCGCTTGGGGCAGAATGGGCAGACTACAGAAATCTACAGAAGGCATCTCCTCAGCAGCAACCGGGGATCGGGATTCTGATGGTCTTCACGCCGCCCACATGGGATGGCGATGGGTTGGCTGCTGAGAATTTCCTACACAGTTGACATGTCGCCTGCTAAATCGATTAGATGAAACATATGACATAAACCATCAAATCTTGGTAACGAGGATGTGTTGTGAATCAACGTAAACTTAAAAAGTCTGGCACATGGATGTTCACCTCCCTCCATTCAGAAAAAAAGATCTACCTCCGTCTCACTTATCACATAATAATGAAATAAATTAAATATATGGTATATACATAAACCACTGAACCACGTATAATGTCTAATACATCATATCATCAGATATAATATATTGTATCATACATGATCTATCACATATCATATAATATCATATCACACACAGACGCACACACACACACACCCGCACACACACACACCCATTCCTGGTCGGAGCTTTCTGGCGCCCTGAGGAAAGAAGCAGAGCTGCAGGGATTTGTAGATCGTCACAAGATTGTCGGGCCCTAAAACAACAATCACCCTGTGTGGATTTTAGGGGGTGACCACGAGGAATTTTTCATGGACATATCGTTGGGTTCTATGGTATCACACACATATATATATATAATGATAATAATAATGATGATAATAATGATAATAATGATAAAAATAATAACAATATATGTATATATATATATACATGATATGTATTTAATGGGCAAGTTTAACATTTTGCCCATATGTGCACAGCCGGATATTTTTGCCATGCCATGCAACACAGCTGCAGCTCAGAAATGCTCCTCGAGCTAGTTCTTCCATTGTCAATATTGTCATGTCTTGACAGTGTTGAACATATGGAGTGTGGTTCAAAAAACATCCAGGAAGCACTCAGATACACATCCGCTTTGGCTTGGTGTCCAGGATGTTCTTCCCAATGATTCCATACTGGAAGCACAGGAGGCAGTGTTTGGGGAAGGGATCTACAGCTTGGAAGAGACATGATACTTGTCGCCAGCTCTTCGAAAAAGGCGATCTTGATAGAGGAAAGAAGGAACCCAATATACTTCTGGTAGTCTTTTGATGCGTCGATGCACATACCCAGGAGTCCTTACTGGGCAGTTTAGGTCGAGATTCACCCATGGATCATGAAACTAACAGTACTTCAAGCTTGCCTCGGATGATTTTGGAACTGCAAAAGTTGATGCCGGACCTTCTTCAACAATATGGGTATGTGAGTCGCAATTGAAGACTCATAGTAAATCAAGGCAGTTTTGATCCACAGCCAGATCAGCTGAGTTGTGACTTGAATCTCTTTTTCCCACGCTTTTCCGTCCCTGTTGAGGACGGTGTGCGAAAAGGTCGAAGCGGTTCTGGGTTGCAACTTGACCAGAAAGATTATCAGTTGGGGATGGATCCATTTACCTCTGACAACCATATTTTTTGGGGATGAACATCAAACTTTACCAGCTATTTTTGGTCTTTGGATGAGAGTACTTTTCCAGGTGCCGGATTGTGTGAACAAATTTTGAAACTGATGCCATGCTTGGAGAAACCACCCCGCAAGAACGGAGCCGCCGATTGTTTGGCTGCTTCTCAGTCACCCAACCTGAACCTATCTGAAGTGCGATATATTTGAGAGTCGCAACCGAGGAATCCACAATGGTCCATTTTTCAAATTTTAAAACAGTTTTTTTTTTGATTTCCCGGGGTACTACGACATCAGCAACCCTTTTAAGCATATGATATAGTGTCAGCGACCGATCAACAGATCCCCCCGGTTGTTTCGGTGGGGAGGGAAGTATTTTACAGATCATTTTTTGGGTTTACCCCTCCAATAAAATTTAGCTGGGCTTTTCATCCAGGATCGACTGTAGACACAGGCACTTACACATATACGTATAGATGTATATTAACATACATATATATATATATGTGTCAAAGGGAACGTAGTAAAAGCATACAAACAATTCATGCATGGGACGCCACTATGGCTCAAGACCCCACGCGTGAGCAAAATAAGTGTTCGCCGTCCGCCATGATTAACGGGTCCGGGAACTACCAGTGAAACAGGTACCACTTGAACTATAACATCCGGAACAAGGATTCATTTGTTCACAGGTTATCAGCCGTAGGGCTCACTTCTCCCGCCGGGAGAGTGGTACCTGCGTGCTGGTAGCCGGGCCTTCTGAGCAATTGATTGAGGACGCAAAGGACCAATCAGCTCATCATCGCAAAGATGCAAGGCGGCAGCGGAGATTCGCGCACCACGCAGTTTACCTTCAATGAGAACACTGCCATGCCGGTCGAGGAGGTCAATCAATCTTCCCCTGGTGACACGGCAGACAGTGGTGGGATACGCTCTACCCGAACTACACAGTCCGGATGGCAAGTCACGTCAAACAGACGAAGGATATCCACCCAAAGTACACCAAGATCTTCTCGAAACAGTGCTCGAAGTGATGTTGTCCGCCAAGGGCATCGACCATCTCGGGGACGAACTACTCCAAGGGACAGATCCACCAGGGCCGTGACCGACCGAATTGGTGAGAGGACCGGGGATAGTCGTGTTAAGAGGAGATCAACGGATACTTCTGTGGCTAGTGAACCTATTGCCATGATAGAAGAACTACGGGCACAATGTCAATCCCTGCGTAATCAGTTGAACCACATGGAAGCATACGCTGCATCTAGAGATCAACTGATTCATGACATCGAGATCAGATTCACTGAGTATCTTCAGGAACACAACCAAAATGTATTTGATGAGGTCAATGCACTCAATCATAGATTGTCATGTTCCGCAAATGAGGTTGCAGAATATCAAGCAGAACTAATGGTAGCATCTCAGGAAGACGAAGGTGCAACAATACGCATCCAAGACCTTGAACGCCGAGGTGCCCTAATGGAACATGGTGCACGACGTATCCATCAACGTGGTATGGAGATCCAGGAGGAGTACAAGGATGAAGTACATCACCTTCGAGGACTATTGGGTAATACGGAGGCAAGACTGCAACAACTTCATCAAACCAATGTCTTAACCACCGATATTGCCAATCGACTATACAATGAAGGTCAAGAAATGCAGACAGATTTCCAGAACTCAATCATGGAATGTCGTAATCGATCCGAAATGGCATCCTTCTCTAGCAATCAACTTGAAGTGATTAGCCAACAACAATCAATTGCAGTTCATGAATTATCTGAACGGAATCAGCGATTGAGTGAAGCTTTAGTTCAGTCTCGTAAACAGGCCGAGCTGTATGAAAGCAGTATTGACGAGATCACTAGAGAATCTAGGAAAAAGGTTTTCGAGGCAAATCAGGCCAAATTGGAAAGTGATCTGAAGCATCGAAACACTGAACATGATACCGTCAGAAGAATTGCATCATACAGGAACCAAGAGGCCGAAGCAATATCACACCTAAGGCTTCTTCGCAATGGCTGGAACTGACCTTGTGATCCCTTCAGCGGCCAAAGGCATCAGCTTGCTGAAGTCAACTCTGTCCCTCATTCAGGAGAAGAAACAAGAGCACAACCTTCCTGCTCCATTCTCAACCTATGAGGAGGCAAACTTCAGGGGTTACAAGGATAAGGACCTCGACGAATGGTTGGATCGAGTGAAGATTTCTCCTCCTGTCGTTGTGGCCTTAGCTTTTGTCATGGATAGAAGTGGCAGAGCATTCGTAACTCATGCAATCAGGTTGCTCATGAAAATGTTGTCAAAGGTGACCAACGAGAATGAGTTGAAGATGTCTGCCACCAGTTTCATTGACAAAGGGGCCCGATTATCAAAGTTGGTAGAAGGGGCCGCCAGAAATCCAGAAGAGAAAAGCATCATGATGATGTTGTGCACCTTCGAGTGTGCAATTAGAATAGATGAACTATGGGATACCCTCAAAGACCACTACACCGGGCAGAACAGTATGATCAACAAGGAAATCACGGTCAAGGACTTGCGCGACAAGATCGCAAATACGAGCCCAACAAACCTAGGATCCTTGAACCAGACGTACCCTCCGTATGGAAGTTCTTGCTACCAAATCCGAAAGAGGACGAACTTCGAGGAGATTGCCCGTCGAAAGTGGGAAAAGTGGTCATTTGAAGTGATGCAGAGAGAAGCACCTGAACCAAGTGAAGTTGAAGAACGCATCAAGTATCTGGTCAACATCATGTACGAGGAGAGCTACAGCCTCGGCTACGCACTCCGACGTCACAATGCCAGAGCGACCAGCAGCCAGGGTAAGACCATCATCGTCCAGAATGTCCTGGAAGACTGGATGTCGATGAGTTATGATCTCAGCTTGGAGCGGACGGCAGCTGTTGTCCATCTACAAACCATTCTCATGATCTCCAAGATGTTACATGAGTGGATGACACGATTGGAAAACTTCAAATCAATGTCATACCTGAGCGGGATCATCAAGACTGATCTGGTCAGAATGAAACAGGCCATTGACCTCCGCGACGACCTATGGGAGTTGGGGGGCTACAACATTGAGAGGGCCGACCAGGGCATGTTCGAGGAGGTGGAGAAACGGAACAGGACATTTTCCTGTATTCGCGACTATGTGACGACCACTGCCACCACCCAGATGGGCCAAGGAGCCACAGAGGTCTCCCACATCGATGGCTGGGACATCCCGCTGATGCCGAGAGACGGCAGAAACCCTCCAAGTCAACCGGATCATCCAGGTTGGGATCCTTCACCTATCAGAATGATGAATGACAAGCAACAGAGGGAAGCCGATGCACAGCGGGCACAACAGCAACAGCAACAGACTGGGCC